AAAAAAAAAAAAAGAGTGTGCATTTTTGGCTCTACAAAAAAACAAAAACAGAGTCTTTATTTTTTTTTTTATTTTTATTTTTTAGTGCTTTGCTCACTAGCAGGGAAAAGAAAAAAAAAATTTCCAATCTAAGCACATGTACTGTTTAATACTGTGGCAATTTTAGCAGACTTACAGTGTCTAATACTTTAGGCCCCTTGCAGCTTAATGAAATGGCTGAAGACAAAACATTCCACTAGATATCTTTACTACCTCAGGTGCCCAGAAATTATTTCATTGCCAGATGCTAGTAGGCAATGCGATTTTGCGTTCTTGTCTCTAGGGCTGGGAAGGAGGTAAACTCAGTTTGCTTCATTTTGTTTCAGTGTTCCATTTTACTCCTCGTCACTGTGTCAAAAGAGTATACATTTTTAAGGAGCAATAAAATGATATCTCATTAACTTAAATTTTGGCTTCTACAGACTTTTTATAGATCTGCCTTGCTTGTTTCAACTCAGAAGGTATTAAATTTAAAGATGTGGATGTACGCTCTTAAATAATAAAGGGATAGGCAAGTGGGAGAGCCCATTTAAACATTCCTTATCCATAAAGAAAACGTCATGGGAGAAAGACAGGTATTTGGTTGGTATAATAAATTTCATATTTGAGTAGAAAGTTAGGAAAGCCCCAAAGTAATTTTGTAATTTATTTTTCACTAGGCATATACAGCTGTGCTGTTCCTTCAACATGTCTCCTTATCATCAGTTATTAATTTTATCATGCTCAATAAATATGGCTTTGTCGTTGAATACCTGATGTCCACTTTAATTTCAGACTTATTTAAATTTGCATTGTTTTCCTAGTTTATATTTCAGTTCTGAAATTTAACTCTTGAGTTTTGGGGTATGCAAAAAATGATAAATACACGTACACACACACACACACACACACACACACACACACACGTTTAAGCACCATATTATCTCAAACATATCAGAGGGTACTTTGCTTATGTCTAGAAAATCCTAAAAATAAGGACTTTATTTCATCAGATATTATTTAAACTTCCTGAGAGCCATGGCTATAAGGATTAGAAGATTCAGCTGAAGCTGGGTGTGGCTGCGGCATTCTAGAATCTGAATTTGAAAGTGAACATGTGTGTCTTGAGGTAGGAGAATTTACTTCCATCTTCTAATCTCAGAAGTCCAGAGGCTAGACCCAGACTTGCATTAAAAGTCCAGAGGTTGGTCCTAGACTTGCATTAAAAGGGACATTTCAGATGTGTGTGATTTAGATATTGACATTAGAACCTTGACTGATGTTTCTTCAATGCTTTAATGATCTGATGTAGCTATCGCCAAAAAAAAAAAAAAAAGGCAAAAGTTCTAAGATCTGTGGTGATCATAAAAATGGACATCAGTGTCATCCTAATTTGTATATCTTGGTAGACATTAAGTATGAAATTTCAAGTTGAATTCTCATGAAATTCAGAAATCATGATACAATGCAAAGCCAAGAACACCTCAACTTATTTCTTTATTCCCAGACTAATAAAATAAGAAGTCTCTCTGCTTGAGCTTCTGATAACGCTGAGAGGTATTCACATTACCTACACTAATCAGGGCACTCAAATACTTACCTCTAAACAGGTAAAGAGCCTTTTCCCTTAGTAGGCTGATATTTCAAGTCAAACCATGTATATTTCATAAAGCACATCAAAGTGCCAGCCTATGCTGATATGGAATTTATAGTCCAGTATTGAAGAATCATTATGGATTAACAGCTCCAAACAAAGAAAAGTGAGAGATGGCTTTAAAATTAAAAGTAAAATCTTCCTTTAACTGATTGAAGAGTTAATGGGAACAATATAAAAAGGAACTATATTCTTGCTTAAAAATGCTTCTGCCCCTGCTTGAGCAGAAACCACATCTCTTGCAGGAGCAAAGCTTGCCCACAGCCCTGCCACCTTGCGAAAAATAGGCTGTTCTGCAAAAACCACGAGATGTACTCAAGATTTCCCAGAAACTGCTGTTACCCACCCAAAACCACCCAGACCCCCAAGACTCAGCTAGGTGTCTGAACCCCGAGTAACCCCTCTACCCCACCCGTATGAAACTGCCCTATAAAAAGCCTAGAAGCTGGAGCTTCGGGGTCTTCAGTCCTCAGCTTGACTGTTGACCCGTGTGCACACGTACAATAAACTGCTTCTGAGTGACTCAATATCGGAGTGAAGCTTCTGTTGTCAGCGCCGACTCTAACACTTATAATTAGATATTTTTGCTAAAATGTTTTATCATCAGACTTTAAAACTGCAATTTATCATTTTTTCCTTCTCACCTTCCAGTCCAACTCAATGAATGGCCAAAATCATTATGAGTAAAAATTATACCACAATTAGAAAAAGAAATCAACTAATTAAGATGAAGTGTTTGGTGCTTCATTTATAGGATCAGATTCATATTACAATAAGGAGTGTTTTTCTTCTGCAAGCACAGGTTATGTTATCATATTCTCATCTCTATTTTTTGCACTGATAAACTTTTCTGGTTGTCCTTTTAACTAAATATATGTGAGACAAGATCTCCTTATTAGGTAAAGTTTGCTTTATGTTCTCAGTATTTCTATTCAATATCTCTGTAACTGGAATTACAATATTGTGCCTCATACTCAGCTTATCCTTTTAACTACTAACATTCTCTATTATCATCTTCCATGTTATCTTTGAATCTTGAACTCCCATGATTGGGTTTCAGTGTTTTTCTGAAGACTTCCTCTGTGATGTTCACATGAATTTCCATGGCAACAATGGAGAATAAACGACAAGGACTTTCAGCATTGTTTATCCCATTTTAAACAACAACTTCAGTGCCTATAGCAATCATTCAACAATGTAACAGAAAAGAGCCTATGAAGCCTCAACCATACAAAAAGAATGGTAGGCAACTGAGTAAAGCTGGGAGCCGGAGTGTTGACCTTCTCCAAGGAAGAGCACACCAATTCATAGCCCAGTGACAAACCTTCCTGAAAACATTTATGAGTGCCATTATGTAGACTCAAAGGGTTTTTTTTTTAAAAAATATATGTATATACAAATAATATATGCATGCACTAATAATTTGTTTTAAAAGAGGCAGAGAATTTGAAAGAGTGTAGGAAGGGGTATATGAAAGGTTTGTGGAGAGGAAATGGAAGGAAAAATGTCAGAATTAAAATATAGTCTTAAACAAAAAAAGAAACATGAGCTTCTCTAAAAATATCTAAAATAAAATTTAAGAATGATAAAGCAAATGTGTCAGCAGAAATATTATATCCAGAATGAATGATGTACCTTCATTGATTAGTTTGTCATTCATCTTTGTCATTTTGGTTATGGACACACTAGAGTAGAAAGGAAAACATAGTAAGAAAGGGGTGTGATGAGGACAATAGGACTCATGTGACCTGAAAGTCACATGTCAGTACTAGAGGGTAGAAGTGTGTAAGTGTTGGGGGAGAGCGGAACATGAAAGAGGGAAGCAAATCTTTGTGATACATCAAATAATGGTAAACAAAACTAAGTGCAAATGAAAATATAATAAGGAAACCTGTTCCTAGTTATTCTAAGTAAAAAAAAAAATCATAAATGTGGTGATGTCTGAGTGAGTAAAGTACTTTTTAGCTGAAGCATAAGAACCAGAGACTGTTTCCCAGAAACAACATAAATCTGGTCACAGAGGCATGAACCAGTACTCTGAGAGCTAGTTAAAAACCAGGAGGATCTCTGGTGCTTGCTGGCCACTGAGCCTGGCCCAACAGTGGCCCCAGAGTTGGGTGGGAGATCCCATCTTTGAAACATATCCCAGTGGTGAATGAAGAGGACACCACCCTCATTCTCTGATATCTGCATGCATATATACGATGTGAATGTGCAAATGTACATACGTGAATATGCATATTCACATACACCACAAGCACCATAATAAGCCATTCATACTATTTCCTCTTGCTATGCTCCTAACATCACTGCAGGTTAAAACACCAAGGAAACTGTTGGATATTACCCTTTTCACCTCTGCAGTTCTCCACTTTGTCTCCTGTTGCTTGGTCATCATTGCCCAGTCACCACTTATTTTTCCATTCTTCATTGATTCTCTTATTGGGGTCATCACTTTGCCCTCTGTGAAGAGAACCTCCAATGGATTTCATGGAACCCTTCCTGGAAGACCTGCACATCTCACTAAAACTCTTTATCAGCTCAAAATATCACAATGCAAGGAGGACTTTTCAGGAACAAAGACACACTTTCATTATAGATTTCCTTATTATTTTGAATAATGTTCTCTATCTATATTTACATTTATCACTTCTTTGGTTAAAAATCACCTATATCTTATTTCAATTTCAACATATAATCTTCTTCTTTGTATTAGAGCAGAAAGGGAGACATCTTCATTACCTGAGGATTTATATTCACTCGTTACAGCAAATGGCTTTCTGTGAGTGAAAATAAATGTCTGGAAGCATTTTCACAGCTCATGCAATTCATAGGGAACAAGTTAGAAAGTGTTCTAGAAATTAACACTGAAGCAGGGGAACTTAATTATGAAATATAATCGAGTCATACACCAGAGGAATACCATGATGGCCTAGAGGATTACTGAACAGGAATTACATGTGATAATCTCCAAACAAAATATAAGATGGCCAATGTCAAGAGCCAAAGTATTTTATTTTCTAATGTTTTGTAAAGTAGTGAACAAAATAAGAAATTAAATCAATATGGACCTTTAAGAATAGGGTGGATAATTAATAATGTGGCAGAAACACACAGCATGCAATATATAATTAAAAAAGAATTGCACAAGAAAGAAGTAAAATTACATAAAAAAATGAACAAAATTAGCACATAAAATTAACAAAAAATATCTGAATCAATAAATTCAAATAATAAAAGAACTGGAACAATTAATGGTATTAATAAAATATAAGAACACTGCCAAAAGTAAATAAAGATACATAAAAATGAGTTTAGGTTGATTTAGCTTAGAGATGGTGAGTATTATCTTGCATGTTTTAAGACCCTAGGACATATCCCTCAGCTCTACCCATTAAATATCAGTTTCAATCTTTCTTGATAGGAAAAAAAATCTTCAAACGTTGCCTACCATCTCAGGTAGGGGAAACATATTCTTTTTGTTGAAAACTACTGGCCTATGCAAAAGAAATAATGGCCTACATGCAAAGGAAAATGGAATTATTTACAATGCTTGGTTCACCTATTTTATTATTAACATAATTTCAAAAAAGTGACAAAATAGAAAATAGGAGGAAATAAAATCTGAAAGTGGAAGATTTTGCCAATGCAGTTAAATAGTCTAATCTAATAGTTACAGCAGAATTTCATTTTCTTTTTTGTTGGTTTGTTTCTGAAATCACTTTCTTAGCTAGAACAACAGCATGGGTGATTACTCACATGATTATTTAACTGACAGAGAACAGAAAGTCGTAGCTCAAGGGCCATATAGGTTGTCTTAGCTGTTTTCTACTATAAACCACTCTGGCTTTATAAGAGCACAATGAAGGACATAGAGGACACATCACACACAACAATTTTATGGCGAGAGTACTAGTGATTTTGACACAGTTGTTTTGATGTAGTGCCCATCAATAAAAGTTCAGGGGATAACATTAAAACTTAATCTAGTGAAGGCAAGTCTGGCAGCGAAGGTGCTAAAGTCAGGATTGCGCTAAGGCTGCAATTCAGAGCACCAAGCACCGTGCTGAGCCTTCATGTCCCAGTGCATTTCTTTCTCTCTGGATTTTAAATGACTTTAGCACCATTAATTTTCAGATATTTTAGGTGGAGTCTTATTACATTGATAAAATATAAAATTGAACTAAAATTAATTTTACAAAATATTGGGGGTGGATGATAGAGTTGTATATTGCCCTCTTTCCTAATTTTGAGAAGAATCAGTATCATCGTTTTCTCTATCCTTAACTTCAATGTTCCCATCTTATACTTAATGTAATGTAACAAAAAATTGACTTCTCTAGAACATAATTTATTTTGATGTATATTAGATATTATGCAAATTTATATAATAATATACCTCCCAAATAGATGCAGAGTGTGTTGTGTCACATTTCTGTATAAATGTAAGCTTCTATCTGCAAAAGTGTCAAACACAAGCTGGATGTGAGTTAAGGTACAGGTTGATGTGATTAATTTTTGAGTACCAGTATTAAAATTCTAAATTGGTTTAATAGTAGGCCTCTTGAATAATTGGGATATTTCCAGTTGGTATCTCCAAAATTATTTTACATAGCTGTCTTCATCAAATATGAGAGGTACCAAGTACATTATACAAAGGACTAGTATCATCAATAAAACCTAAGAAGCATTCTTATTCTGAACAATCTTTCAGTACTTTACAATTTGTGTCCATTATTTTATTAATGAACACATGTGGAATGTTTAAATTTTAGTTCCTTCTATCGGTATTTTTGTTTGGATTACTCAAATGCTTATCCCTTTACATTTTCTTAATTAATCTGTATCTAACCAGGAGTATTGTTATTATCAGGAGTTCTACCATCCAATGTTGATTCTGTTAGTAAAATGCTTTTTTCTAAAGGTTATCATATTTAATGAATACAATTGCTTGCAAAAATGTGAGTGACTATGCCTTTAGTTTTCAATGTATTCTCTGTTGTGTATAAGTTCCTTTTTTCCTATTCTTGTGTGTGTTTGAAGAAACAAATTGGCATTTTATTAACACTGCATTTAATTTTAAAATTGCTTTTGGTAGGCTGGTCATTTTCATTTATTTTTTATTTTTTTTTTATTCTCTCATATAATTCATTACAGCTGCAGTTACCCTCTTTCCACTCCTCCCGGTCTCCCCCACCTTCCTATCTGCTCCAGATCTACTCCTCTGTTTACCTTCAGAAAAGAACACTCCTCCCAGGGAGTATTGGTATTACAAGTTACAATAAGACTAGCTACGAACACTCTTATCATAGTTGGGTCAGGCAACCAAGTAGAAGAAAAGTGGTCCAAAGAGCATGTGAAAGAGTCAGAGATGACTCTACTCCCACTGTTAGGAGCCCCACAAAAAAAAAATGCTAAACTGATGTGGGATATTTGTATACTGTGTGAAGGTATATTGCTTTGATTGGTGTAATAAAAAGCTGAGTGGACAATAGTGAGGCAGGAGATATAGTCAAGATTTCCTGGGAGAGAAAGGAAGAGTAGGATAAATTTGGGCATGCAGGAGATGCCAGAAGACCAGAGAAAGCAGGATGTTCAGGAGGAGAGGCTAACAACCACAAGCCAAGTGGCAGAATGAATTGGTTAATTTAAATTATAAGAGCTAGTTAGAAACAAGCCTACGCTATAGGGCAAGCTTTCATAAAAAATAGTAAGTCTTGTGCTGTTATTTGGGAGCTGGCTGGTGTAACAGAGAAAGACTCATTACATATAGTGCTCATGTCTAAAGAACCTTAGTCTTAGCTTAGGCTTTTCCCACTAGCTCATATAACATAAATTAACCCATTTTTTTTTTATTAATCTGCATTCTTCCATGTGGCCTTTACCTCTCTCCCATCCTGTGTCCAACTCATTCTGCATCTCCATGGCTTCTCTGCTTTTCTTCTTCCCAAAATCCTCTCTGTCCCTGGAAGTCCTACTTAATCTTTTACTGCCTAGCAATTGGTCATTCCATTCTTTATTAAACCAATCAGAAGGTGACTTGGCAAGACACATCTTCACAGTGTAAACAAATATTCCACAACAAACCAGTAAACATAATGTATTTTGCAGAGGACCTAGCACAGAGCCATGAAGGCTCCATGATTTTACTTCAGTCTTTGTGAGACACTATGAGCCCTGCTTAGTTGATTCTCCAGGCTGTGATCTCCTGGGTTCCCGGATCCCTCAGGCTAGTTCAATTCTTCCTGTCCCTCTTCTACAGGGTTCTCCAAACTCTGAGAAGAGGGACCTAATAGACAATTTGGGCTCTCTACACCTAATGTTTGGCCATGGGTCTGTGCATCTGCTGCCATCAGCTGCTAGAGGAAATCCCTCTGATGGGTGTGTTAGGCACTGATCCATGGTATAGCACAACATTATTAGAAATCATTTTATTGACATTTTCTATCCTAAGTCTTTTGGCTATCCAGCCTCTGGTTCCTGGTCATCCAGGCATTATGAGACATGGGCTCCCTTTCATGACATGGGCCTCAAATTAGACAAGTCTTTCCTTGGCCACTCCCTCAAGTTCTGCACCTCCATTGCCCTAGCACATCTTAGAGGTGAGATAGATTGTAGGTCAAATGTTTCATGGCTGAGTTGGGGTTTCAGTCCTAACACTGTCAGTTGCCTGGTTACAGAAGATTGGCCAGTTCAGGCTCTTTATCCTCCATTACTAGGAATTGTGACCAGGGTTACCCTCATAAAATGCTGATGCACTAGGGTTCTACTCTACTCTTTAAATGCCCTCAAATTCCAATCTTCTCCCCCTGTACTCTCTTCCTTCATTCCTGCCTCACTTCCAACACTTTATCCCTCTTATCATTCCTACGCACCCCTAGCCTACCAGAAAAGATCTTTTTGGGTTTGACCATTACCTTAAGTGTGTCTCAGACATTGAGATTGCTCTATTGAGAATTCTGTTTATATGTGTACCCCATCTTTTAACTGCAACTTCCAGAGGTATCATTAGCTCTGATTTCAAGAAATACTATAGAGCTATAGTACTATTGGCATAAAACCAAACACATTGATCAATGGAATTGAATCAAAGACCCAGATATAAATCCAGACACCTATGGACATCTTACTTTTTTATATATATAAAGAAGCTAGAAAGGCACAATAGAAAAAGAAAGTATCTTCAACAAATAGTGCTGGCCTAACTGTATGTCTGCATTTAGAAGAAAGCAAATAGATCCTTATTTATCACCGTGCCCATAATTCAATTCCAAGTAGATCAAAGACCCCAACATAAAACCAGAAACACTGAACCTGATATACAAGAAAGTGGGAAATAGTTTTGAATGTATTGGCACAGGAGACTACTTCCTAACACATCACTAATAGCTCAGGTACTAAGATCAACAATTAATAAATGATATCCCATGAAACAAAAGCTTCTCTAAGGAAAGGACATGGTCATTAGAAAAAAAAAAATCAGCCAAAAGAATGAGAAAAGATTTTCACCAACTCCACATCCAACAGAGTGCTAATATACAAAATATATAAAGAACTCAAGAAACCAAATAATCTATTTTTTCTATTCTTTTTTTTTTTTTGGTTTTTCGAGACAGGGTTTCTCTTGCGTAGCTTTGTGCCTTTGTGCCTTTCCTGGAACTCACTTGGTAGCCCAGGCTAGCCTCGAACTCACAGAGATCCGCCTGGCTCTCCCTCCCGAATGTTGGGATTAAAGGCATGCGCCACCAACGCCCGGCTTTCTATTCTTAGTCTTCTGTTGTTGTCTTAAATTTCCCACCAGGACTTTGCTTCCCTCCTCGGTTTTCAGTCAATGACTTGCATTTCATCCCATACTCAGAAATCTACAATGATAATTTTTGTGCATCAGTTTCTTCTATTTCTTCTCTTCTCCTGATATGAGATTCAAAATTTAAAGCATCTCAGTCTCTTGGTGATTTTGTAGTTTTTTTAATCTTTGAATTCTACCTGGAGTTTACATGTTTCAGTTCAATCCTTAATCTTCCTCTAAGCTTCTATTCATTTGTATTATTATTATTATTATTATTTATTTTATTTTACAATACAATTCAGTTCTACATATCACCCATGGACTCCCTTGTTCTCCGCCCTCCCACCCCCTATTCCCACCTTCTCCAGGGCAAAGCCTCCCGAGGACTGAGATCAACCTGGTAAACTCAGTCCAGGCAGGTCCAGTCACTTCCTCCCAGGCCAAGCCAAGCGACCCTGCATAAGCCCCAGGTTTCAAACAGCTAACTCATGCAATGAACACAGGACCCGGTCCCACTGCCTGGATGCCTCCCAAACAGATCAAGCCAATCGACTGTCTCACCCATTCAGAGGGCCTGATCCAGTTGGGAGCCCCTCAGCCATTGGTTCATAGTTCATGTGTTTCCATTGGTTTGGCTATTTGTCCCTGTGCTTTATCCAACCTTGGTCTCATCAATTCTTGCTCATATAAACCCTCCTCTTTCTCACTAATTGGACTCCCGGAGCTCCACCCCATACCAGGGATGCAAGGGTGGTTCAACATACGAAAGTCCATCAACGTAATACACCATATAAACAAACTCAAAGAAAAAAAACCACATGATCATCTCACTAGATGCAGAAAAGGCATTTGACAAAATCCAACACCCCTTCATGATAAAGGTCTTGGAGCGACCAGGAATACAGGGAACATACCTAAACATAATAAAGGCAATTAACAGCAAGCCAACAGCCAACATCAAGTTAAATGGAGAGAAACTCAAAGCGATTCCACTAAAACCAAGAACGAGGCAAGGCTGTCTGCTTATTCAATGTAGTACTTGAAGATCTAGCCAGAGCAATAAGACAACATAAGGAGATTAAGGGGATACAAATTGGAAAGGAAGAAGTCAAGCTTTCCCTATTTGCAGATGATTTGATAGTATACTTGAGTGACCCCAAAGATTCAACCAAGGAACTGATACAGCTTATAAACATCTTCAACAACATAGCAGGATATAAGATCAACTCAAAAAAACTATACAGTTGACAAGGAGACCAAGAAGGAAATCAGAGACACATCACCCTTTACAATAGCCACAAATAACATAAAATACCCTGGGGTAACACTAACCAAGCAAGTGAAGGACCTATATGACAAGAACTTTAAGTCCCTGAAAAAAGAAATTGAAGAAGATGTCAGAAAATGGAAAGGTCTACCATGTTCATGGATAGGCAGGACTAACATAGTAAAAATGGCAGTTTTACCAAAAGCAATCTACAGATTCAATGCAATCCCCATCAAAATACCAACACAATTCTTCACAGACCTGGAAAGAATAATACTCAACTTCATATGAAAAAATAAAAAACCCAGGATAGCCAAAAGAATCCTGTACAATAAAGCAACATCTGGAGGCATCACGATCCTTGACTTCAGACTCTACTATAGAGCTACAGTAATAAAAACAGCTTGGTACTGGCATAAAAACTGACATGTGGACCAATGGAATCGAATTGAAGACCCTGACATTTACCCACACACCTATGAACATATAATTTTCGACAAAGAAGCCAAAAGTGTACAATGGAAAAAAGAAAGCATCTTCAACAAATGGTGCTGGCATAACTGGATATCAACATGTAGAAGGCTGCAAATAGATCCATATCTATCACTGTGCACAAAACTTAAGTCCAAGTGGATCAAAGACCTCAACATAAATCCAGCTACTCTGAACCTGCTAGAAGAGAAAATAGGAAGTAGTCGTGAACGCATTGGCACAGGAGATCGCTTCCTAAATATAACACCAGTAGCACAGACACTGAGAGAAACAATCAATCAATGGGACCTCTTGAAACTGAGAAGCTTTTGTAGAGCAAAGGATACAGTCAACAAAGCAAAGCGACAGCCTACAGAATGGGAAAAGGTCTTCACCAACCCCAATTCTTTTCATTTTTTAAATTCTTTCCTCAGCTGAGTCTAAATTGGAGTTTTTAGTTTGTTTTGAATGTTCCTTAATTCTAGTATTTTCACTTATATACCTTCAAACTCTCAGTTCTCTAAAAATTCTACATTAATTATATTTTAATTATATACCTAATAACTTCTATATCTATAATTTCTACCAGATTTTCTCTTATAATTTTTTCTTATATTTTACCTAAAGCTTGTGTTATTGTGGAAGAACTTATATTCAGTTGATTACAATATCTAATGTAATTCATTTTGTATTAAAATAATATATATTGTGTTAAAACAATAAAATTTATAAAACCAATACTTTTTATAATTTATGAAAGCATTTTATAATCATGTTCTGTTATTTTCATCCAAAAATATTTCTTTACTCTAGTACATGGCAGTTAGAGAATGGACAAAAAGCACAGAACTGTCCTTCCCATTCATGGTTTGACCAAGGACACACTTCTCTGTGACTTCCCCTAGAAGCCAATGGAAACATCAGAAATTTCCTTTTGTGGTGGAACTTAATCACTACTTGTGTCCAAATCAATGAATTTACTTAAAATGGCCAAGACTCCAAAACCTTAATATATACTTCCTCTGCTTTCAAATTTTAATTGCATTGTGGAGGAATATGTTGTAGGATGCTGTTTGGGTTGTGGGTTTCATTAATCTTCCATCATCACCTTCATAAATTTTTACTCTCTCATTAGCTTCTCTATACCTTAAAGAAAAATATATGCATATACTCTTGAACACTTTTAAATTTGTTCTCAATTGAAGTGATAGCCTTGGGCAATCTGATGATTGGAACTCACCTGCCCTGAAATTTTAGTTACAAGATGTTTGACATGTCAATTCATGTACAGATATTGCAAATATTCGACTGTCCACAATACCTGTCTCATCATTTGCATTAAAATTGTGGCATTAATTATTTCTAATACTTTCATTTTTAGTTTCTATCATTTAATTTCTCTCTGTCTAACTAGAATTTCTCTCCTGTTTTCCTGGTTTGTTTTTAGAGACATTATGGCTTTTCGCCCCATCTGGCCTTTATCCCATGGCAAACATCTTGCCTTAAGCTTTCAAGTACTAAGATACTCACATTATCATGCCTGGTTTTTTCCATTGTTTATTTTGTTCAATGCTATAACAATTATCCACCCACAATAATTTATGTAAGTTTTAAAATTTAGTAGCCCCTGTATACCATGAACTAGATATCCTGCCATTTGACTAAAATTCGATTAAGTAATAGTTGTTTCTATTGACATACTGTTTCCTCAAATTGACTCAAAGTGCTTTTAGAACTTAATTTCAAATATATTCTTTTTGTTTTTTCATACCCAGCGTGGTAGAGCACATATGATATTGGCCTGATACAAAAGTATTATAAGTCAATATTTTCTTTTCTTTCCATTCCTATTTCTTTGCAGTTTCTATCCATAAGACCAGTATCATTCAATAAATCATTTTATTCTCTGAAAACTCTTTCCAGTTACCTCTACCTTTGTAACATGCATGCCTCTACCAAGAAACATTGTATGATCAAACTGAGCTATACACATGAAAAAAATCAACATTTTCTGTGGTAGTTTATATGTAATTGACCCCCCATAATCTCACCGGGACTGGCACTGTCAGGAAGTGTGACTGTTGCCGGAGTGGGGTACGGCCTTGATAGAGGAAGTGCCACTGTTAGGAGAGCTTGGAGTTTTCTTGTGCTCTCAGTGTCTCATCTGACTTCCTCTTGCCTGCAAGATATAGGACTTTCAGCTACTACTCCAGCACCATGTCTGCCTGCACACTGCCGTGCTCGCCACCATGATGGTAATGGACAGAACCTCTGAAACCACAAGTGAGCTCCCTCAATTAAATGTTTTCCTTATAAGAGTTGCCATGGTCATGGTGTCTCTTCACAGCAATAGAAACCCTAACTAACACATTCTCCAGCAAAGTTTTTTATAACATTTTCCCACCAATATAGAAAACATGAAGATAAAAATCTACTTTATGTACACATCTCAAAGTGTGCTAAATTATAAGAAAACATGACTTACAAATAAGAAAGCTAAACATAATTTTGAACTGATCTTTAGCTTTGTAATGGACTTTTAACATTTTAATATCAAATGTAGTAGTTTGAGATCTATAAAAAGATCTTCTCAACATTCAACTTTATAACATTCCAGAGCAACTAAAAGCTAACAACATTTTTCATCACTAATCACTATTGTTTGTTTTAAGAATCATTTGCCGGGCGTGGTGGTGCACGCCTTTAATCCCAGCACTCGGGAGGCAGAGCCAGGCGGATCTCTGTGAATTCGAGGCCAGCCTGGGCTACCAAGTGAGCTCCAGGAAAGGTGCAAAGCTGCACAGAGAAACCCTGTCTCGAAAAAACCAAAAAAACAAACAAACAAACAAACAAACAAACAAAAAATCATTTAATATACTTATATCATATATTTTTAGATACTCCTAGCACTAGTAAAAACTGTCATTACATTCAACTTTAAAATGAAATAGTTTCAGCACAGCACATGAACACTAGCTCAAGCCCAAAAATTAGCACATGCAGGAGCTTCCATATATATATAATTTAACTTCAGAAATCATTCTCCAAGGTTAAT